CCCCCAGCCGTCCCCGACGAGGGTCCTCCTCGGGACCTCCCTCACCATCCCCTGCTATTTCATCGACCCCCTGCACCCTGTGACCACCGCCCCCTCCACCGCCCCCCTCGCCCCAAGAATCAAGTGGAGCCGTGTTTCCAAGGAGAAGGAGGTCGTGCTGCTGGTGGCCACTGAAGGGCGCGTGCGGGTCAACAGTGCCTACCAGGATAAGGTCTCGCTGCCCAACTACCCCGCCATCCCCAGCGACGCCACCTTGGAAATCCAGAGCCTGCGCTCCAATGACTCGGGGGTCTACCGCTGCGAGGTGATGCACGGCATCGAGGACAGCGAGGCTACCATGGAGGTCGTGGTGAAAGGTGAGAGCCTCCCGGGGGGCGCTGCTCCACCCGCAGAAAGAAGCAGAGCAGTCTCTGCACCGCTCAGGCGCAGGCAGGCTGGCCTTCAAACCAGCCAAGTTACTTAACTTCGGCTGCTTCCTCTGTGACATGGAGCTGGTAATATCATTCTCTCTGGACTTTAGGGAGCATTAAATACTTCCTGGCTATAGTCACAGGTAATTGACAGTTTGTGCTTCCCAAGAATTCTGTGATCCGGTGGGTCTTGTGATGGTGCCCATTTTACAGACAAGCAAACTGAGGTCAAGTGACTTGCCTGGGGTTACCCTGGAAATAAGTCAGAGCAGTCTCCTGACAGCTTGTCCCGGTGTCTTTTCCCTCCCCCTCCCCACTCCCTCATTCTTAGTTACAGAAGCCAAAGCAAGGGCTGAAGACCCCCTGGTCTCTTTCTCTCTATGGCCCAAGGAGAACAATCAGGTCCTTGGTTAGCTTCAGGACTTCGGCCAGCACCAGATTTTTCCCAGGGGAAGGTACAGTGGGAGGCTCTGTCAAAGCTGTTCACTCCTAGGCACACCTTAAATGGATTTCCCCCTAGGATGGCCCTGGGCTGAGGGTGCAGGGGGTTCTAAGTGTCTTTCCCCCAACACAACCTGAGGGTTCTGGAGTGATAAGAAAAAATTACAAGCAGACAGATTTTAGTTTAATTCAAAGAACTTTCTGATTATCAGGATTATCACAAGTCTTCCAAAAGGAATGCCTTATAAGGTAGTGAGCTCCCATTACGGTGTGTTCCAGCAAATTCGGAAGGATCACGTGCAAAGGTGTACAGGGGGTCATGCGCCAGCCTGGGCCAGCCATTTCCCTAAGGTCCCTTTGACTATTGCCATAATTCTGTGGAGACCTCAGTGATCAGAGACTGTGCCTGACCAGCGTTCCCACACGTGCGCGCGTGTGTGTCTTGCAGGCGTCGTGTTCCATTACAGAGCCATCTCCACGCGCTACACCCTTGACTTCGACAGGGCGCAGCGGGCCTGCCTGCAGAACAGTGCCATCATCGCCACGCCTGAGCAGCTGCAGGCCGCCTATGAAGATGGCTTCCACCAGTGCGACGCCGGCTGGCTGGCCGATCAGACTGTCAGGTAAGCCCCAGCCCACCAGTGATGGCGGCCAGGAGTCAGAGGCCACATGCCAGTGGGGCAGGTGCTGGGGTGGAACGTTGGCCAGCACTGAGCTGGTGCCAGCATGACACTGTGGCCAGCCTAGGTTAGGGGCCTCGGTCATGCCTTGGCCAAACAGGAGCTCAGTGACCCATCCCAAACCCTTGTTATTCTCTCTTGCAAATGGAATGAGGGACTGCTAGCAACCTTGCTCTGCACATCAGTATTTTTCCTACTCATTTTTTTCTTTGCCACGATTTCCTCACTTCTAAACTTTGATGTTTTCTGTACTTTTGTAAAAGACCCTCTGTCCTTTCTGTTTTTAATAAGGTAAGACATAACTTGAACCCCTGGGTGCATCCTTGCCTGAGTGTTGGTGCTAGGGAGTGAGGTACAGAGCAGTCCAGATAGACCCTGCCCTTAAGGGATCTCAATGCACTCCAAAAGCAAAATGATGTCACTCATTCCGGGAGCATCACAGCTCCAACAGCCAGAGCCACAAAGCCTCAGGAAGAAAACATAGGAAAATGTCTTTGCAATCTTGGGGTGGGCAAAGAGATCTTAGGATACAGAAACCGTAGTCATAAAAAAAGATGAGTCAGCCAGGCGCAGTGGCTTACGCCTGTAGTCCCAGCACTTTGGGAGGCCTAGGCTGGTGGATCACAAGGTCAAGAGATCGAGACCAACCTGACCAACATGGAGAAACCTCATTTCTACGAAAAATACAAAAATTAGCTGGGCGTGATGGTGTGTGCCTGTAGTCCCAGCTACTTGGGAGGCTGAGGCGGGAGAATCACTTGAACCAGGGAAGCAGAGGTTGCAGTGAGCCGAAATCACCACCATTGTACTCCAGCCTGGCGACAGAGCCAGACTCCATCTCAAAAAAAAAAAAAAGAGAGAGACAACGGTCTAGCATAGCACAAGAGCCCACACCAGGGCCGGGTCAGGAGCTGGACTCAAATTCCAGCTCCGGCACTTGGAAGCTGCATGACTGTGGACAAATCGTTTAACATCTCTGAGCCTCAGTTTCTTCGAGTATAAAGTAGATCAATGACAGCGCCTGGCTCATTGGGTTGATGTGAGACTCAAATGATACAGAGCAAGGCCTGACAAACTATGGCCAGAGGCCACGCCCAGCCCTCTTCTTGTTTCTGTAAATCAAGTTTCATTGGACCACCCGTGTGTCACACCCATGTGTGTATTGTCTGTGGTTGCGTCATGCTACAGTGGCAGAAGAGTGGTCACCACAGACACTATGCAAAACCTAAAATATTTACTGTCTTTTTTTGGAGACAGAGTCTTGCTCTGTCACCCAGGCTGGAGTGCAATGGCATGATCTCGGCTCACTGCAACCTCCACCTCCGGAGTTCAGGCAATTCTCCTGCCTCAGCCTCCTGAGTAGCTGGGATTACAGGTGCCTGCCACCACGCCCGGCTAAATTTTGTGTTTTTAGTAGAGATGGAGTTTCAGCATGTTGGTCAGGCTGGTCTCGAACTCCTGACCTCGTGATCCACCCGCCTCGGCCTCCCAAAGTGCTGGGATTACAGGCGTGAGCCACCACGCCTGGCCTATCTGGTCTTTTATAGAAAAAAATATGTAATCCTGAGATATTTAATTGGCAAAAAAAAAAGGTATATATATATATGCCCTGATAGAGAAAGTATGTTGGGTACCCTAAATATTCAGTAGAGAGGGGGCTGCCCTTAATCATTATTCACTGTTAAGTCAGATAGGCAGTTCACATATTCAGAAGAGACACGCCAAACGCAATGTTAAGTCACTGTTTCCTCCCATGAGGGAGGAGGATTCAAGGGCAGAGGCCATGGGCTTCCCTGTCCCCTGAGTGTCACACCTCCATTTGGGGTTCCTGGCAGATATCCCATCCACACTCCCCGGGAAGGCTGCTATGGAGACAAGGATGAGTTTCCTGGCGTGAGGACATACGGCATCCGAGACACCAACGAGACCTATGACGTGTACTGCTTCGCTGAGGAGATGGAGGGTGAGCTGCCCTGCCACCAGGAGCCACCCAGCTCCCTTCCCGAGGGCCCTTCCCCTCTCCATCTCCCCACGGACACTTGAGATCACACAGGGTGCCAGCTCAGGGCCTGATACCCTCCATCCCCCTCTGCCACGAAGGGAGGTGGGCTGGGGCCCACAGGTCTGGACCTCTCATTCTCCACTTTGGGGAGGGTCTCAGTGGTCCCAACATCTGCAAAATGTCTGGTGTCACCACTGGGCCCAAGAGCATCTGTCACCAGAAGTCTCTCACCTGGGACTGCCCCTCCCAGCTGGGATCCCAGCTGCCGTGACCAGCCCATCCCTCTTCTAAGGTCCCCTGTGCCGTCAAAGTCCAGCCCAGCCGTGGCCCCCTCGCAAGCGACACTACGCCAGCACTGTAGCACCTAGGGCAGCTGGTCGCCCAGCCACCCTCTCCCGGCCTGGACTTTTTCTGTTTTGTAAAGGGCACCAGTTTTGGTCACAGAGTTGGCCAGGTCCGTGGACGCCAACCTTTCCCTCACCTGCACCCATTTACTCCTTTGTACATTCCAGACTCTGCAACGTCTGTCTCCTCCCTCCCTGTCCGCCCCCGCTTCCCCTCACCTGAGTACAGTGCCCACAGCTCCTCCAGGCTGAGGAGAAGAGCTGGCAACCGGCACTTTCTGAGGGGCTGCGCCAGGCTTTCCCACCACCGTAGCCCCCTGCTGCATTCCCACCCCAGGGGCCAAACCTGTGTATTAGGTAGCAAGTTATTTGTGTGTTCCCACATTTGGCTAACCAAAGACAAACAGAACCACCATTTAGAGATGCCACTGAGCGGGGTAGCCAGAACCGCCCCCGCCACCCCACCCCTACCCCTGGCACAACCCTGTTAGGTTTCTGGAAACTTGTTTTTTAAGCTCACGGTCCCCAAATGATGTCCTCACAGACTCTTCAGGGTCTAGAGGCCCCAGGTTTTTTTTGGAATCACTGCTCCAAGGGCTCAAGGCCTGATGCCCACTGTTCCCAGGATAACTTGAGTTTTTTAAAAGGATTTGCCTTGAGTAGGCATTTTTAACTCCTAGGAAAGCTTCCCCTAGTGGTGGGAAGCAAATGGACCAAAGAGGCTTTTGGCAGAATTTTCCTCCCAGATTTCAAGTTTGCTTCACCAATCTCCCTGCATTTTTTTTTTTTTTTTTTTTTTTTTTGAGATGGAGTTTCACTCTTGTCGCCCAGGCTGGAGTACAATGGCACGATCTCGGCTCACTGCAACCTCTACCTCCCGGGTTCAAGCGATTCTCCTGCCTCAGCCTCCCGGGTAGCTGGGATTACAGGCATGTGCCACCACACCCAGCTACTTTTGTGTTTTCAGTAGAGACGGTGTTTCTCCATGTTGGTGAGGCTGGTCTCGAACTCCCGACCTCAGGTGATCCACTGGCCTCAGCCTCCCAAAGAGCTGGGACTACAGGCATGAGCCGCTGCACCCGGCCTTTGCTGCTTCTTTCTTGGTCCCCTTGTTTTAGGAAATTGATGTCGTCCTACACAAAAGCCCAGAAATAAGCAATGAAGGGCAAGATCTGAGATACAGACACTTGGGACCAGGACTTTGGGAAGTCAGAGGACTCCCAAGACTTCATGGAAAAGTGTGGATCTCTCTGGGGATGTGGCGCAGGGGGAGGGGGAGGAGACCCTCATTCAGCCAGCTGTGTCCTTCACAGGTGAAGTCTTTTATGCAACATCTCCAGAGAAGTTCACCTTCCAGGAGGCAGCCAATGAGTGCCGGCGGCTGGGTGCCCGGCTGGCCACCACGGGCCAGCTCTACCTGGCCTGGCAGAGCGGCATGGACATGTGCAGCGCTGGCTGGCTAGCCGACCGCAGCGTACGCTACCCCATCTCCAAGGCCCGTCCCAACTGTGGGGGCAACCTCCTGGGCGTGAGGACTGTCTACCTGCATGCCAACCAGACGGGCTACCCCGACCCCTCATCCCGCTATGACGCCATCTGCTACACAGGTGGGGCAGGGCTGGAGGTGGAGAGTTCATGCCACTAAAATGGGGTCCTAGAGGAAGAGGAGGTCTTGGAAAGGGGGCGTTGGTTTTTACCCTTAAAGGAGCCACTGGGTACCTGAACCCCCCTGTTTTTTAGAAAACCCCTCCATTTTCACTGGTTCCTAGGAAGCACTAAGGCAGAGACTCTGGAGACTGCAGCGTATCCAGCCCTGTCTCATTGGACCAGCACTGAAAAGGGTTAAAAGCATGAGCTTAGAGTCTGTGTTTTCTCCGATTTGAATCAAAACCCTGCCACCTACCGCTGGCAAAGTCAAGGCCCTGAACTTCACTCTTCTCATCTGTCTAGTGGGGAGATGGGGTGCCGCCTGGGAAGACGTTGGGGGTCTGATATGAGACCCTGACACCCATGGGAGGGCGCTGCTCTCTGCCTTTTAAAATTGAATGTGTTTAACAGGAAGGTCAAAATGGGTTTTGTTGTGTTTTGGGGTTTTTTGTTTGTTTGCCTTTGAGACAGGGTATCACTGTGTTGTCCAGGCAGGAGTGCGGTGTTGAGATCATAGCTCACTGCAGCCTTAGCCTCCTGGGCTCAAGTGATCCTCCCTCCTCAGCCTCCAATGTAACTGGGTATGTTGGCATCACCATGCTCTGTTAATTTTTTTTTTTTTTGTAGAGACGGGGTCTTGTCATGTTGTCCAAACTGGGCAGAATGTTATGATTATGATTATTATTATTATTTCTGAGACAGAGTCTCGATCTGTTGCCCAGGCTGGAGGGCAGTGGCACAATCTTGGCTCATTACAACCTCCACTTCCTGGGTTCAAGCGATTCTTCTGCCTCAGCCTCCTGAGTGGCTGGGATTACCAGTGCACACTACGATGCCCAGCCAATTTTGTGTTTTTAGTAGAGTTGGGGTTTCACCATGTTGGCCAGGCTGGTCTTGAACTCCTGACCTCAGGTGACCCACCTGCCTCAGCCTCTGAAAGGGCTGGGATTACAGGCGTGCGCCACCATGCCCAGCTGCAAAATGTTATTGAAAAGAGTAGGGGAAAGTTTGATGGGGACTTTATTTTGAAAACTTAGACCAAATGTTTAAATAAGCTTTTATCTTATATTTAACACATCTTGGGTTATAATTATAATTACATGCTAATTCTTGGAGGAAAAAGCAATGCGTCACATAAATGAGGAGTTGCAAAATTCTCATGTCTCAAGTGGCGATCACACAATGGCAACCCATTACGTGTTTCATTTCCACAACGTGATCTTAGAGGAAGACGGTTGCTTTTGCAACGAGAGTTGGGATTTCCTCCTTGAAGCCTCTGAGCCTATTCTAACCACTCTTACAGCAGTAGCTTCATTCTCATGAGACCCTCATTTGTTTGTGACTATGACACAGGCGGTTCTCCAAAGCCACCTCCATCAGCTTCACAAACTGCACCTTCTGCAAGGTTTTCTGATTTCTCTTTATAACTTACTTACCTGGTCCCATTGGATAGTTACACATCAGACGGTTGGCAAGATGCTTATGAAGGCGTGAAGCAGCAGCTGTGTGGAGCAGGAAGGGATGCTGGGACGGGAACTGATCTTCATGAGCAGTCAGCTCATTGGTCAATATCCTGCCCTCTGCTAACTCCTGAACTCTTTTGCAATCTTGAAACTGTGGGGACGCCTATAATGAGCACGCTGGTAGCTGGGTACCCCTGCAATGGGCTTGGCAAGGTGCCTGGCACACAGTGGTGCCCTCCTGCCCCAGGGGGAAAGAGAAGGAGCCATGCTCATCTCCAGCCCACTCCTCATCACCCTCAAGCCAGTCCCTTGAGAGGCTAAGAGGCTACACCTCTTAGGCTGAGAGGCTAAGGCTTGTCTTTGCCCCCTCCTCCAGGTGAAGACTTTGTGGACATCCCAGAAAACTTCTTTGGAGTAGGGGGCGAGGAGGAAATCACCATCCAGACGGTGACCTGGCCTGACGTGGAGCTGCCATTGCCTGGAAACATCACCGAGGGTGAAGCCCGAGGCAACGTGATCCTTACTGCAAAGCCCATCTTCGAAGTCTCTCCCAGTCCTCTGGAGCCCGAGGGGCCCTTCACGTTTGCCCCTGAAATAGGGGCCACCGCCTTTCCTGAGATTGAGAATGAGACTGCAGAGGCCAGCAGGCCCTGGGCCTTTCCCACGCCTGGCCTGGGCCCTGCCACGGCCTTCACCAGTGAGGATCTCGTCGTGCAGGTGACCGCTGTCCCGGGTGCAACCGAGGTCCCTGGGCAGCCGCATTTGCCAGGGGGTAAGTAGCTGCCGGTGGATGCATCTAGGGGCAGATGGAGAGAATTTGGCCTGTGGGGGAGGGACTCTCGCAGTTGAAGGCTGTAACTTCTGCTTAACCTGGCACCTGAGACAATCTTCTCTCCAATCAGACCTTGTTCTTTTCATCTGTGACACAAGAAGAATAGGCCAGACTAGTCAGGTCCATACTCTTTTGCCATCAAGGATTTATTTCAAATGAGGTCATATGTGGAAACCAGTCTCTATATCAGGCAGACATACGTGCCATGTGGACCTAGGGGAAGTGGAGTGGAGAGCAGCTGGGCCTCCTTCTGTCTAGGGCCCTCCTTGTCCCATCAGACACCCCGCAAAATAGAGCCACTAGAAAACCACTGCCTTGGATGACCTGAGGCCTGTCACTGCTCTGTCCTCCCAGGACAAAGGCCAGCAAACTATGGCCAGCAAAATGTGGCCTTTCTTAAGTCATATGGCCCATGACTTAAAAATGATTTTTACATTCTTAAATAGGGGCAAAAAGTCAAATATTCAAAAAGTCAATAGTTTGTGACACGTGAAAATTATATAAAATTCAGATTTCAGAGTCCACAAATACAGTTTGATGGGAACAAAGCCATAGCCATCTGTGGATGGGTTGTCCGTGGCTAACAGAAGACAATCACAGCAGGGTTGAGTAGTCTGGCTTTCATGTCCGGATTCCACCGACCATGGATGGAAAATATTCCAAAAGAAAAGAAACAATATTATTTTGTTTTATTTCATTTCTTTTCATTTCCATGAGAATTACTGAATTATTCTTCAATTTGCAATTTTGGAAATTGACTAAAATAATAACACAACAATAAAAGTAACATAGATTTAAAAACAATACAGCATAACTACTATTTCCATAGCACTGACATTGTATCATTGTATCAGGTGTTAGGGGGAACCTGGAGGTGATGTATGGAAATACTACATTTTCATTTCAGGGACTTGAGCACATGTAGATTTCGGCATCTGAGGAGATCCTGGAGGGCAAAGATAACTGTAGTTGTAACAGAAGCCACATAGTCCACAAAGCCTAAATATTTACCATTCGACTCTGCAGAAAACGCTTCCCGCTCCTGTTCTAAGACGACAGTGTTCTAGGTGCTTGACACATGTGTGAGAATCGGAGGTCAGGTAGCATAGGGCCCAGTGCTTCCCAAACTCAAGTCTATTAACAAGGACATTCTGGTGTGACCTTGTTCCATAAGGGCCTTGGTGGGTTCCCACGCTGCCATCCACCATCACACCCATGTGGCTACCAAGTGGGACTTCAGCCTGCATTGCCCAAATAAATCCAGTGTGTCAGGTAGCAGGAGTCGGACTCCCTCTGTGCCCATGGAGCCTTGGGAATTGCACAGCATGGGTCCATGAACCTGACCGCTGCCTCCTCTTCTCCCCCTCCTCCCCGTGCAGGAGTCGTGTTCCACTACCGCCCGGGACCCACCCGCTACTCGCTGACCTTCGAGGAGGCGCAGCAGGCCTGTCTGCGCACCGGGGCGGTCATTGCCTCGCCAGAGCAGCTGCAGGCCGCCTACGAAGCTGGCTATGAGCAGTGTGACGCCGGCTGGCTACGGGACCAGACCGTCAGGTGAAGCCGTGCTCCTCACCCAGCGCAAACCCAACTGAGGAGGTCAGGCTTAAGGAGCCACAGCCTGGCACAGCCCCCAGCACATTGACCACCCAATACCTTACGGGCTGATTAATTAATTAGTGACTCAACTGAGGCATATCCTGAAAGGGTGGTGAAGGGCACTGGGTCCTGTTCAGCTCTTGGTCATTTCTCCCCATCAGACAGAGGCGGCAGCCCCCTCCTCAAGTGCCCCATTTCCTTCCAGCCTGACCCCATGCCCTTCCACGCAGCTGCTCTCACCTGAAGACAGAAATCCCCCAGGAGCCACCAGACCCTTCCCCAGGCTGCTAGGAGAACTTGCTGCATGAGGGGCTCCTTCCTGGTTTGAATCCACCAGACAACTGAAGATGTGCCAAGTCCCTGAGTGGCCTCTGGCCTCAGCGCAGTGCCCTGCGCCCCCCAGCCCCCAGATCAGGGCTTCATCTTCTCCTCCCACTGTCCTTTGCAGATACCCCATTGTGAGCCCACGGACCCCATGCGTGGGTGACAAGAACAGCAGCCCAGGAGTCAGGACCTATGGCGTGCGCCCATCAACAGAGACCTACGATGTCTACTGCTATGTGGACAGACTTGAGGGTATAGGCCACATTCTCACATTTCGGGCCCTAGATAGGCAGGGGACTGACAGGGCAATACAAAGCAGAGAGGGAGTTACCACCCACCCACCCCAGACCCCACGCAGTTTTCCAGGTGGAAAAGGGTCCTGCTGAGAAAGGAAGGCCCCCCAGGCCCTCCCTTAGAACCAGCCCCTGCTCTCCTCCGGAATGTTTCATGTGGTCTCAGCATGGCAGGGGAGCATCAGTCCCTTTAAAAAACAATGAGATCTGTGGGTAAATGTCACTTTATTATAAATAGATGCTATATACACCAACTGTTTCTTGGAGAGTCCCAATGCCTGGGCACAAATCAAAGGCACTGAGAAGTTCTACAGTAAACAAACAAGCAAAAACCACTTTAGGCCAGGCACAGTGGCTGACACCTGTAATCCTGGCACTTTGGGAGGCCAAAGCAGGTGGATTGCTCTAGCCCAGGAGTCTGAGACCAGCCTGTGCAACATGGCTAAACCCTGTCTCTACTTATTTTTTAAAAAAGAAAAAGGGCCAGGTGCGGTGGCTCACGCCTGTAAACCCAGCACTTTGGGAAGCCGAAGCAGACAGATCACAAGGTCAGGAGCTCAAGACCAGCCTGACCAACATGGTGAAACCCCATCTCTACTAAAAATACAAAAATTAACCAAGTGTGTTGGTGTGTGCCTGTAATCCCAGCTACTCAGGAGGCCCAGGCAGGAGAACTGCTTAAACCCAGGAGGCAGAGGTTGCAGTGAACTGAGATTGCACCACTGCACTCCAGCCTGGTGACAGACTGAGACTCTGTCGAAAGAAAGAAAGAAAGAGAGAGAGAGAGAAAGAAGAAGGAAGGAAGGAAGGAAGGAAGGAAGGAAGGAAGGAAGGAAGGAAGAAATAAAGAACAGAGAGAGGGAGGGAGGAAGGGAAGGAAGGAAGAAACTTCCTTAACTCCCTTTAACTCAGCATTGCCCAATTTTTAACCATAGACCTTTATTTTCTTTTATTTCATTTCTTTTAATTTCCATGAAAATTACCAAATTATCCTTCCACTGAATGCAATTTTGGAAATGCTGGTTCCAGAAAGATTTCAGTATTGCCACTCACTCGTTTCAAGGCCCTGGCCAAGTCTTTAACCTCTCAGGGCCTCAGTTCCTTCATCTGTAAAATGGGGCTGATTTATATGTACATCAGAGGCTTTTTTTTAAGTATTAAATGAGATATGTATGAAAAGTTCTTGGCACAAGTAAGTGTTCAGTTAAGTGTAAGCTCTCTTCCCGCTGAACTGGATAGGTACCGGGTGCATTGCTAGGTCCTGGGACCCAGCCCCTACCCTGGATGAGTTCCCAGGGCATGAGATGAGCAGGTCCCCAGCAGTCACAGTGATAAGTGCAGTGGTGTAGGGGTGCACCAGGATTAGAGGGGACCCAGGAGAGCCGCCTCGCTTAGCTAAGGGAGGTGGTGCCTAAGTGTGACTGGAGAATCCAGAAAACTGGGAAGGAAGAGAAGTTGTTGTGGAAACAACTCAGCCCAGTTTGACTGGAATTTTGGCTTTTTTGGCACTGAGAGTCCTGTGTCCCAGGAAACCCCAGTCCAGTACAAACCAGAGTGGTGATCACCTATTTCTCGGAGTCCCAGAAAATCTAAGGTGGAGTGGTCAAAGGAGGGGTGTGATGGAGCCGGGTAGGGTCTTAGCCCTGGTGAAGGGGGTTGGAGGAGCTCTGTCCCGGATGGGCAGGGACTGATCTGACCTAAGTGTGGAGGGTCATTCTACCACTTGCCTCTGCCCCCAGGGGAGGTGTTCTTTGCCACACGCCTTGAGCAGTTCACCTTCCAGGAAGCACTGGAGTTCTGTGAATCTCACAATGCCACGCTGGCCACCACGGGCCAGCTTTACGCCGCCTGGAGCCTCGGCCTGGACAAGTGCTATGCTGGCTGGCTGGCCGACGGCAGCCTCCGCTACCCCATCGTCACCCCAAGGCCTGCCTGCGGCGGGGACAAGCCAGGCGTGAGAACCGTCTACCTCTACCCTAACCAGACGGGCCTCCCGGACCCGCTGTCCCGGCACCATGCCTTTTGCTTCCGAGGTAAGCATCCTCGCCTGGGGTCCTGCAGCCTCTTTTGTCTGGAGAGGATTCCCCTGGGCTCACCCCTCCTGGCACCGCCCACTATCCCATCCATCAGAGCAAGAAAAAGTCAGTCTCTATGGGGCAGGGCCAGCTCTGAAACCAGCATGACGCAGGCTTTGACCTCAAGGCAAGGTCATCCTTCCAAAGTTCTCCAGAGACAAGTAGAGATAAATAAGAACTTGGCTCATATTTATCTCTACAGATCTAAATTTGATGGTTCTGCTACTTAAGAGCTGTGTGAAAATGCTACTTCAGAGACAGCTGCAAGAATTGAGTGCATGTGGTGCCCTTGACATAGTGCCTGGGACACAGTAAATGCTCAATAAATGTTAGCTTTATTTCATATACTTATATATATGTAAAGCTATCATATATAGCTACATTTTGTACGACCTGTAATTTGTACACGCTTGTCAAACTCTCTCCTGCTTGAAACTATTTCTGTGTTGAGCTCAGTGAAATTATTCTATTGTTCTCCACTAAGCACTGGTGATTCACATTTTTCATTGACTCATGCTATGGCTATGCTAGCATTTCAACCGTGACTCCCAGTTGGACTTCTGAGAGCGATGTCATCAAGCAGCGTAGTGGGCGTGGCCCAGGTGCAGCCAAGGCATTGCGGGGCGCTGATTGGATGAGTTCCTGCACGGTCCATGGAGGGTCTGAGTGCATGGATCAGAATGTAGATTGTAAGAACACCCTGTGCCATGTTTCAGATATTTTACATCAAAACTGAGTGTTTTCGCAACTTTCTGTGACTCTATAATTATTTTCAAATAAACTTAAGGGAAAAAAAATTGAGCGTACCCAAGTTTCCCAGATATCCAGGGTCACCTTTTAAAACCCAATTCAAGGCTGGGAGCAGTGGCTCACACCTGTAATCCCAGCACTTTGGGACGCCGAGGCAGGCAGATCACTTGAGGTCAGGAGTTCGAGACCAGCCTGGCCAACATGGCGAAACCCTGTCTCTACTTTTAAAAAATGCAAAAATTAGCTGGGCATAGTGGTGTGTGCCTATAATCCCAGCTACTAGGGAGGCAGAGGCAGGAGAATCACTTGAACCTGGGAGGCGGAGGTTGCAGTGAGCCAAGATTGCTCCGTTGCACTCCAGCCTGGGCAACAGAGCAAGACTCTATCTCAAAAAAAAAAAAAAAAAAAAAAAAAAAACCAAAGCTCAGCCCCACTCAGACTCAGCCAGCATCAAAAAGTCAAATCTTCTCTCAGAGGTTCTGATGAGGCTCTTGTCCCAGTGCCCCCTCCCTGCTCTGGGAAGCAGAAGCCACGCCGTTTAGCCTCCCAGGAACTTCCCAGCCATGCTATCCTCAGCCTCTCACCCCTGCCCTCCATGAACTCCGCTTTGTATATTATCCTACACAGCTCAGCAGGATATTTCTGACCAAGCCCCTGCTGATTTTCCCCACACCAGAACAGTTGCCCCCAGCCCATGAACCCTGCCTTCGCACTTTCAAATGCCATGATGGTTTCATGGAATTTAAGCACCATCCTCCTATTTTTGGTCCTGACACACCTGGCACATAATCTCCATCCCCAGGATCAGCAGCGTTGTTCAGTAGTTGACAGCGCGGAGTCTGGCACCAGATGCCTGAATTCAAAGACTAGATGTGCCATTTGTAAGCCACTGACCCTGGGCAAATAATGTATCTTTGTGCCTCAGTTTCCCCATCTGTCAAATGAGATAATTATATCTCTCTCATAAAGCTGTTGTGAGATAAAGTGAACCTATATGCATAAGCCTTTGGAGCAATGCCTGGCATGTGTGATTGATTCTGCAGGGGAGATGCCCCAGATCACCCAGAACGAAACTGCTGATGGTGCATACGGATATTGTATCATTGGTGCCGATGGCTCTTGCTAAGCGAGAAGGCAAAGAGCCATCCGCTGAATTAGGAGGTGGGGCCTGGCCCACCTCAGAGTCCCCTAACTCCCCTCGAGAAGGGCCAGCCCAGGATGGGTCACTCCTAAGAGAAGGACTCACTCTCACCACCCGCATCTTCCCTAGGCGTTTCAGCAGCTCCTTCTCCAGGAGAAGAAGAGGGTGGCACACCCACATCACCCTCTGGTGTGGAGGACTGGATCGCGACCCAAGTGGTGCCTGGTGTGGCTGTCCCCGTGGGGGAGGAGACAACCGCTGTACCCTCAGGCAGGACTACTGCAGTCCCAGAGTTCACCACTGAGCCAGAAAACCAGACAGAATGGGAACCCGCCTACACCCCAGTGGGCACATCCCCGCTGCCAGGTTGGTATGGCTTGGGTTCTGGGGCACACCCTGAAGCTGTATACCCCTATCTGCCTACAGTGTGCCCGGTGGAATGGGGGTTTCCCTCCCTGGAATTTGTGCTGTTTCTCCAGCCCTGACACTGCCTGGGTGTGCTGTCGTGGGCAATTTTATCCGCCTCAGCTGGCCTTTAGGACCTGGCCTAGAGTGATAAAAACAGCCTTGTTCAGAAAACGCTTCTATACACATTTACTGTTCTGTCCTTTATTTCCCTTGCATGCACCCCCGAATGCCCTGGACTGTGCTGATCAGAGGCCCCTCAGTTACCTTGTCCTCCTGCACTGACACCCTTACCCTAACCTCAACCTTCTCTTGCAGGAGGAGAAAGAACCAGGGACGGGGTTACTGTTGGCAGTCTGACTGTGACTGTCTCCTCGCCTTTCTCCTCCTTCCATGTCCCTCTTCTGGGCCAGCCCAGCTCAGCCAGAACTCCCTGAATTCCATCTGTCGCAATTAAACCAGAGGGGACTTAACAGGATAAAAGCAGCCGTCCCTAAGCCTTGTTGGTAAAGTGTTTCGTGGCCACTAAGGTTTGGGAAACACTGGCTTACAGAGATTAACAGGTGTCCTCACCGCAGACTTCTCAGAGCCTTGAATATGCTAGCTAGTAGGCACTGTAAGTCTCCTAGAGGAGGTGAGAGATGTAATGTGTCCCAAATGGACCTGACCGCAGAGCCTGCCCCCGCCCCAGAGCACTGTTAACATCTAGCAGCTTCCAGCTGACGTAAGCCTGATTTAAAGCGGTGTACAGTAGTGTGTGTGTGTCCGGGCAGTTCTCCTGGGGGTACATGCATCTGAAAAAAGGAGTGTGTCCGAGCTCCCACTAACTCATCCAGCCACGCATCAGCGTTCTGTGCACGGTTCTAGGGCAATTTGGCGGTGCCAGGCGCTCTTCTGGGCACTGGAAATGCAAAGCCTGGCCTCCCTCCATATCAGAAGGTCAGGGTGCCTCTGTAGAGCAGGGGCGAGTCTGGCCCAGCAGCCGCACCTGCTCGTGGCCTCCCTCACCCTTCACCAGAACAAGAATGACTGAGTCCTCTTTGGCATCAGGATGTGGCTTTGCACAGGACTCTGGCAACCACTGGTGGGAAGTTACCAGCAGGGAAATAGCTCCAGCAGCCCCATAGAAATGTTTTCCAGACTTCAGTTCCTGACCACCTTGCTGATTTCAGCCGTATCTGGGAACCGTCTGAACTATCATTTGTTCCATGCCTTTTTCTTGAAATTGACTTGCTTTCAAAAAAGAAATGTAAACCTGAGCGCAGTGGCTCATGCCTGTAATCCCAGCACTTTGGGAGGCCAAGGTGGGAGGACCACTTGAGGCCAGGAGTTTAAGACCAGCCTGGCCAACATGGTGAAACCTAGTGGCTACTAAAAATACAAAAAATAGCCAGGTGTGGTGGCATGCACCTGCAGTCCCAGCTGCTCAGGAGGCTGAGGCAGGAGAATCACTTGAACCCAGGAGGCGGAGGTTACATGAGTGGAGATGGTGCCACCACACTGAGATCCGGACAACAGAGTAAGACCCTGTCTCCAAAAAAGAAAGAAAGAAAGAAATGTAAATTTATTTAAGAGGGAACTGTTATATTATAAATGCAAATGGTCATCCTGGTGTGTTTCATAGATAGATACATACATACATATACACATACATACATACATATCAAAATAAAAATAATCTTTTTCTGTGTCCTGCCCAGCTAATCTTTTTTTTTCTGCATTGCACCACTGCTACCCTTCAGGCCCCACTGCTCCCTCTGTGATTCTCCACTCAGCAAGAACAAACTGAACCTGCTCAGTGGACCCAGCACCCTCAGTGCTCAGGGCCCCCATCTGGGAAGTAGGCCCCGTGGTACACACAAGGTTAAAATGCAGTGCGGGAAAGAAGACCTAAAGCAAAGGATGTAGCCTTGATTATTTAGAATTACGGGATTTCCTTTTTCCTTTTCTCTATTTTTCAAATTGTCTGTAATAGGGTTCTCAGAATGGGAAAAAGTTTCTGTATGTTTACAAACAGCACCACCTTTCCCTCCCTTCCTCAGAGGGATGGCTTAAGATGAACATTCTTACATTCAGGCGAGTTCCAGCATCACAGGGAGGGCTTGCTAAAATACAGTGTACCAGGCTCCTCCCCAGAGTTGCCAAATCAGTGGGGCTGGGGTGAGGTCTAGGAATTTGCTCTTCTATCAAGTTCCCAGAGGATGTTGGTGCTGTGAGTCCAAGCTTTGAAAACCATGACACCAGATCAATGAGATGGGAATGTGGAGGTACTTGCAGGATGACCTTGGTGGTCTTTGGTGGTGGCCAGGCCCCCACGTCCAGTGGGTCGTGTGGATAGTGGCCCCGTGTCTCACACAAAGCACAGCCTGTGTAGCCGTGGTCCTGTGGGCAATTGGGAGAGCTTCCTGGTTCCCTATCTCCCTCCTTCCCTTCTCCCTATCCTCCTGCCTTCCTTTCTCCCTATCCTCCTGCCTTCTTCCCTCCCTCCCATCTCTTCTCCCTTCCTTCCTTCCTTTGCGACTTTACACATTTCCATTAGAAAGCATCTAGACACATCTCTGAGCTCTTGAGAGAAAAATTTTACTGTGGAAGGACTGAAGTTCAGATTCTATGTATGAGCTTAAAATGGGGCAGAGTTAACAAACCCACGTCTCATCCTTCTTCCTTCTTTCCTACAGGGATCCTTCCGACTTGGCCTCCCACTGGCCCAGCAACAGAGAAAAGCACAGAAGTCCCTTCTGCAACTGAAGTGCCCTCAGCCTCGGAGGAACCATCCCCCTCAGAGGAGCCATTCCCCTCGGTGGAACTATTCCCCTCAGTGGGGCCATCCCCTTCGGCGGAGCCGTCCCCCACAGTAGAACCATTCCCCTCAGTGGAACCATTCCCCTCAGTGGGGCCATCCCCTTCGGCGGAGCCGTCCCCCACAGTAGAACCATTCCCCTCAGTGGAACCATTCCCCTCCCAGGAACCATCTCCCTCAGAGAAGCCATCAGCCTCAGAAGAGCCATACACACCTTCACCCGCGGTGCCCAGCTGGACTGAGCTGCCAAGCTCTGGGGAAGAATCTGGGGCCCCTGAAGTCAGTGGTGACTTCACAGGCAGTGGAGATGCTTCAGGACACCTTGACTTCAGTGGGCAGCTGTCAGGGGACAGGGCAAGTGGACTGCCCTCTGGAGATCTTGACTCCAGTGGTCTTACTTCCACAGTGGGCTCAGGCCTGCCTGTGGAAAGTGGACTGGCCTCAGGGGATGGTGAGAGAATTGAATGGTCCAGCACACCTACCGTTGGTGAACTGCCCTCTGGAGGTGAGATCCTAGAGGGCTCTGCCTCTGGAGTTGGGGACCTCAGTGGACTTCCTTCTGGAGAAGTTCTAGAGACTTCTGCCTCTGGAGTAGGAGATCTCAGTGGACTTCCTTCTGGAGAAGTTCTAGAGACTTTTGCCTCCGGAGTAGGAGACCTCAGTGGACTTCCTTCTGGAGAAGTTCTAGAGACTTCTGCCTCTGGAGTAGAAGACCTCAGTGGACTTCCTTCTGGAGAAGTTCTAGAGACTTCTGCCACTGGCGTAGAAGACCTCAGCAGACTTCCTTCTGGAAGAGGAGGTCTAGAGATTTCTGCCTCTGGAGTAGGGGACCTTAGTGGACTTTCTTCTGCAGGAGAAGTTCTAGAGACTACTGTCTCTGGAGTAGAGGACATCAGTGGACTTCCTTCTGGAGAAGTTCTAGAGACTTCTACCTCTGGAGTAGGAGACCTCAGTGGACTTCCCTCTGGAGAGATTCTAGAGACTTCTACCTCTGGAATAGGGGACCTCAGTGGACTTCCTTCTGGAGGAGAAGCTCTAGAGACTTCTGCCTCTGGAGTAGAGGACGTCAGTGGGCTTCCTTCTGGAGAAGCTATAGAGACTTCTGCCTCGGGAGTAGAGGATGTCAGTGAACTTCCTTCAGGAGAAGGTCTAGAGACCTCTGCTTCTGGGGTAGAGGACCTCAGCAGGCTCCCTTCTGGAGAAGAAGTTCTAGAGACTTCTGCCTCTGGAGTAGGGGACCTCAGTGGACTTCCTTCTGGAGAAGTTCCAGAGACTTCTGCCTCTGGAGTTGGGGACCTCAGTGGACTTCCTTCTGGAGGAGAAGGTCTAGAGATCTCTGCTTCTGGAGTAGGGACTGACCTCAGTGGACTTCCTTCTGGAAGGGAGGGTCTAGAGACTTCAGCTTCTGGAGCTGAGGACCTCAGTGGATTGCCTTCTGGCAAAGAAGACTTGGTGGGTTCAGCTTCTGGAGACTTGGACTTGGGTAAACTGCCTTCTGGAACTCTAGGAAGTGGGCAAGCTCCAGAAACAAGTGGCCTTCCCTCTGGATTTAGTGGCGAGTATTCTGGGGTGGATGTTGGAAGTGGCCCATCCACTGGCCTGCCTGACTTTAGTGGACTTCCATCTGGATTCCCAACTGTCTCCCTAGTGGATTCTACATTGGTAGAAGTGGTCACAGCCTCCACTGGGAGTGAACTGGAAGGGAGGGGAACCATTGGCATCAGTGGCGCAGGAGAAGTGTCTGGGCTGCCTTTCAGTGAGCTGGACATTAGTGGGGGAGCTAGTGGACTCCCTTCGGGAACTGAACTCAGTGGCCAAGCATCTGGGTCTCCTGACGTCAGTGGGGAAACATCTGGACTCTTTGGTGTCAGTGGACAGCCCTCAGGGTTTCCTGACATCAGTGGGGGAACATCTGGGGTTTTTGAGGTTAGTGGGCAGCCATCAGGGTTTCCTGACACTAGTGGGGAAACATCTGGAGTGACTGAGCTTAGCGGGGTGTCCTCTGGACAGCCAGGTGTTAGTGGAGAAGCATCTGGAGTTCTTTATGGCACTAGTCAACCATTTGGCATAACCGACCTGAGTGGAGAAACATCCGGGGTCCCTGATCTCAGCGGGCAGCCTTCAGGGTTGCCAGAGCTCAGTGGGGCAACATCAGGAATCCCTGGACTGGTTTCTGGTGCCACGAGTGGCAGCGGTGAATCTTCTGGCATTACATTTGTGGACACCAGTTTGGTCGAAGTGACCCCTACAACATTTAAAGAAGAAGAAGGCTTGGGGTCTGTGGAGCTCAGTGGCCTCCCTTCCGGTGAGGGAGATCTGTCAGGCAAATCTGGGATAGTGGATGTCAGTGGACAGTTTTCTGGAACAGTCGATTCCAGTGGGTTTACATCCCAGACTCCAGAATTCAGTGGCCTACCAAGTGGCATAGCTGAGGTCAGTGGAGAACCCTCCGGAGCTGAGAGTGGGAGCAGCCTGCCCTCGGGAGCGTATTCTGGCAGTGGACTTCCATCTGGTTTCCCCACTGTCTCTCTTGTAGACAGAACTTTGGTGGAATCTGTAACCCAGGCTCCAACAGCCCAAGAAGCAGGAGAAGGGCCTTCTGGCATTATAGAACTCAGCGGTGCCCATTCTGGAGCACCAGACCTGTCTGGGGACCATTCTAGATTTCTGGACCTAAGTGGGCTGCAGTCCGGGCTGGTAGAACCCAGTGGAGAGCCACCAAGTACTCCGTATTTTAGTGGGGATTTTGCCAGCACCACTGATGTAAGTGGAGAATCCTCTGTAGCCATGAGCACCAGTGGAGAGGCTTCGGGACTTCCAGAAGTTACTTTAATCACTTCTGAGTTCGTGGAGGGTGTTACTGAACCAACAGTTTCTCAGGAACTTGGCCAGGGGCCCCCTGTGACACACACACCCCAGCTTTTTGAGTCCAGTAGAGAAGCCTCTGCAGCTGGGGACATTAGTGGAGTTACCCCAGTGCTCTCTGGGTCTGGAGTAGAAGTGTCATCTGTCCCAGAATCTAGCAGTGAGACATCCGCCTATCCTGAGGCTGGGGTTGAGGCATCTACTGCCCGTGAGGCCAGCGGAGAAGCTTCTGGGTCCCCTGATCTGAGTGAAACCACCTCTGCATTCCACGAAGCTGACCTCGAGAGATCCTCTGGCCTAGGAGTGAGCGGCAGCACTTTGACTTTTCAGGAAGGTGAGGGGTCAGTTGCCCCAGAAGTGAGTGGCGAATCCACCACCACTGATGACGTAGGGACGGAGGCAGCAGCCTTGCCTTCGGCCACTCCCATGGCTTCTGGAGACAGGACTGAAATCAGCGGAGACCTGTCTGGTCACACCTCGGGGCTGGGTGTTGTCATCAGCACCAGCCTCCCAGAGTCTGAGTGGACCCAGCAGACCCAGCGCCCTGCAGAGGCACATCTAGAAATTGAGTCCTCAAGCCCCCTATACTCAGGAGAAGAGACTCAAACAGCTGAAACAGCCACCTCCCCAACAGATGCCTCCATCCCACCTTCTCCAGAATGGACAGGTGAATCAGAGTCAACTGTTGCAGGTATCATTGGGATTTTTTTTCCCCTTTAAATGTGCTTGGGTATTTCAGACGGCAGGCTGCTGTAGCGTAGAAGGAGGCAGCGTAGCTTTCAGGTTCTAAGAACAGCTCCACCGTAGGTTAGCTTTGCAGCCTCAGGCAAGAGTCTTCACCCCTCTGAGCCTCATCTGTAACATAAGAGTAGGATAATACCATACCAGGGATGATTAAGCAGAGTATAAACAGATAGAGTGAGCACTTAGCATCACACTGTGCACACTTATGAAGATTGACGATATTCTCATTACAGCCGCATTACAATCCATGAGTTTTCACAGTGAATTCAACTATCTGTACTTGGCACAAGGAAAGAAGGATGGCTATTTAGATAGTGCTAGAAATTCTGCCCATGCAGCCTACCCTGGGGGGAGTGTGAGGTGAGAGAGTAAATCTGTAACTTCTGACCATCCATGAAGAAAAAAAGAGCGAGAGAGACAGTAAATCTGATGGCGTTTATTTCTGACTATTTATTTTGTGCAGGGTTAAAACCTACACAATGTGGCCGGGCGCGGGGGCTCACGCCTGTAATCCCAGCACTTTGGGAGGCCGAGGCGGGTGGATCATGAGGTCGGGAGATCGAGACCATCCTGGCCAACATGATGAAACCCTGTCTCTACTAAAATATGAAAAAGTTAGCTGGGCAGTAGCATGTCTGTAGTCCCAGCTACTCAGGAGGCTGAGGCCGGGGAGTCACTTGAACCCGGGAGTCGGAGGTTGCAGTGAGCTGAGATCCATGCCACTGCACTCCAGCCTGGTGACAGAGGAAGACTCCGTCTCAAAAACAAAACAAAACAAAAACCTGGACAATTGAAGAAACTATGAAGTGACATTTTGGCTATCTGGCTCTAGATTCTGCACCCCCAACCCCATCCCCGTACAAAGGGGTTCCTGTACGATCATGCTTGTCTCACCATGACATAACCCTAAGCACCGGGCAGTGGGTACTAGTAGCTGATTCTCCTTTGTTTTTTGACCTGGGATCCTTTGTACCTTCCTTTGCGCTGAGAGAGCTTTCACAGCTGGAGAGCTCCCCTTGATGCTGTGGGTCAGGTGCCCAGGAGGGACAGAGGCCCCAGAAAAGTGCTGACCCAAAGCCAGCCTCGTGGACTTCAGGGACCTCATGCCCCAACTTTGAGGTCTTGGAGGCCATGGTAGCCAGGTGACCAAGTTCGTGATGCTCAACCTTTCCCCTGGGGGTTGCAGCCCCCACCAGGTCCTGTGCGGAGGAGCCCTGTGGCGCTGGGACCTGCGAGGAGACAGAGGGACACGTCATATGCCTGTGCCCCCCTGGCTACACTGGCAAGCACTGCAACATAGGTAAGGCTCTCACTGGCCGTGGGGAGTTAGGGTGGAGGTGCTGGACACACGCCTTCAGGCCCCGGACACACGCCTTCAGGCCCCAGAGGGCCCCCAGGCGGGAGGAGGTAACAAGGTCCACAGAGGCTCAGGCTTCTCAGGCTGGGAAGGCGCTGCACCATGACATATCAGGGGCAGAAGCCACAGGACAGACATGGCTCATCTTTCTTGAATGTCTAGGTTTAGGAGAAAAGAGTCAAGTAATTAAGCTGGTGAGTGTTTTTATATCAAGCCAATGACTATTATATGAGTAGAATGAAAAGTGTGCTTGAATTTTGGAGATAAAGCTTGAGATTTCAAAGACATATTGAGCGTGGGGTGAGTATTAAATACAGCGGGTCACACCTCGCCGCTCCTGGCAAGGAGTCTCTAAGTGAGGCTGTCTTGTATCATGCAGAGCGAACCCCACAAAGTTGCTTCCATGCTTGGGTGTGGGTGGGGTTTGGGTCCCCTTCTTCCTCTGAAGGAAATGACACAGCGTTAGTCACCCAGCACAGGGATCCGTGGCTGTAGGGCAGCTGACCCAGCAGTGCACCTGCCCAGGCACCCACCGTGAGCCTATTTGTCCTTAGCCATGGGTGAAGCATGTGGGATGGGTTGAGAGCCTGGGGACCCTTTGATCTGAGGTGGACCCCCGAGGGAGATGGTTAGAATCTACCTGTTGTTCCAAAGACACATGGGAGGCCTGTGGCCATAAGGATATTTCATCTTATTAACATCACCACCCTGGAGGAAAGAAATGCCCGGTTACCACCAAGCTCATGTTTTTTAGTTAGTTCTCCACTGCCCCGGTGCCCTTATCCCTTGCCTCCCTCCTAAGTCAAGAATCAGAGACCTAGGGTCTTTCATAAAAGGCGTCACTCCTAGGACATGTTCAAAATTGAAAAAATGAATCCCGGAGAAAGAACAACCACTTCCAGGTAAACCACGCTGGGCAATTATCCTTCACTAGCCTTTACATCAAAGACAGAGAAGAATTCTGTGTTTATATATATTAATATATATGCAAATTAATGCATGATTATGTCATTATATATCATATAATATAAACATGCTTTAAACTTGGTACTTATGCAGTCACTATATATGTACGTATATAAACAGGCATTTGGGTAAACATTCATTCGCTCTTTCCCCAGCGTGTAGGCTCCAAGGACAGACGGGGTGGGATATCCTGGAAAGGTCCCGGGCTTACTGCAGAAGGGGACAGCATTTCCACTGGGCCATAGTGACCCAAGGGTCTGTAGCTGCACCCCACCATCACTCACCCCTGATGGGTGACTCCACTCTTAGCAAATCCTTCTCAATCTGGTACTTGAGGCAAAAATCTGACACTGGCATCAGAAGTCAAAGTAAGGCTTATGTTCTTGGCAGCCCTGAAATTAGAAGGAAGTGGCAGTGGGCTCTAACCATTTTGCTGTAGGGACAGCCTTTCTGTGATCATGTTTATTTCCAAAGGGCTTTTGTTCCCACGATTTCTCCCCAGACGGCTCTGTAATCAGTTTGGTAACTATCTCCATTTAAGACTGGAACACAGAGGAGTTAAGTAAGTTGCCTAACTCTGAGTAAGTGGATCGAATCAAGAATAAAGGTCTTAATTCACTTGTTTGACACACTCAGCTAAATAAGAAACTCCCTCTTGAACATAACAACCAGTTGCTGGTCTCAAAAAAACTGAAGCTCTTCTGCAGGGGAGCCAGAGTGGAGAGGAGCTGAGGAAGCCAGGGTGGTCAGATTCAAGACTTACAGCCCAGCCTTCATTTCCCTCATTTATAAACAGGAATCAGTGGTCGTGGTTCTCAGCTTTGAAAAATTACGATGCCTGAGATCTACACCCACAGATGGCGATTGAAGTGGTTCTGTGGCCTTGGCATTGGGGTTTTGTCAACTCCCAGGTGACTCCCATGTGCAGCTAGGGCTGAGAACCGCTGCTGTGAGGGTTGAGATCACCCATGTACAGCATCTGATCAGAAGAGACATTTAATAAAATTGCTTCCCTTTCCCCATCTGTCACTCTACTGGCTGAGAGAAGTTTTAGCATCTCCAAAGAGTGAGTGGTAGGGATCAGCCCAGCACAAAACCTGGGTCTCTTTTCCCATGATCGTACCCTGGAGTCCCAGGTCCCTCCTGTTCAATTTAGCTCGAGGTTCAAGTGCTTCCAGAAAGACTGCAGATAGTGGCCAGTCTCCACGGCTGACCCACCACTGTCTTGCACCAGAACCAGGAACCACAGATTGTTAAAAAGACCATGGATCAGTATTCTCAAGGGCACAGGGAGCAAAATGCAGCATGATTCCCACAGCAATATTTGAATCCTCAGGGAAAACTTCCACCTGGTAAAGGGGGTCAGAAGCTGTATTTAGTCCTTAAAAAAAAAAAAATGACAATTACTGTCATCTTGTGTAGTCAGTCTTCCGTAAATAAGTTCTCGATAAGTTATTATAAGTTATTGATAACTTCTCAGTTATCAATCAGTTAATTTACTTCAAAATTAAGATCTACGTTGAATGTCGTGGCTCACACCTGTAATCTCAGCACTTTGGAAGGCTGAAGTGGGCGGATCACTTGAGCTCAGGAGTTCAAGACCAGCCTGGGAAACATAGTGAAACCCCATCTCTGTTAAAAAAAAAAAAAAGTCAACATATGTTTAATGAATACTCAGATTCTTTAGCAATTAGAAGCAGGTGACAGTGGGACCTAACCATTCTGCTGTAGGGACAGCCTTTCTGTGATCCTGTTCTGACCCACTTCAAAAAAGCAGCGTCTTTGCCCACTGCCATTACTGATAGCACCCATGGGAATTAGGCTTCAGACTCTGAGGTTCCTATCCTTGCTGCAGCTTAGAATCACCTGGGGTGCTTTCAAAAAGCATCATGCCTGGGCCCCACTCTAAGTCTGATCCAGTTGGTCTAAAGAAGAACTTCAGCATTGGTATTTTTTAAAAAATCTTTAAATAAGAATCTTTAAAAACTACTCCAGTAATTCTAATGTGCCAGCCAAGGTTGGAAAATACCGTTCTAATCAGATCTGACATCCGATTTCCAGTCATCACGGGTGCTGTATGGACTTATCTCCTCTGTTAGGCAGACATGACCTTAAACTTAATCAGTCTCCTTCCTATCTTACTGCTGTTTTTCACTTTCTGGGTTTGAAGCTCTGATCTATGACCTTACCCTCCCTCTTCCTCTAGGAGAGATGTTTGAATGTCAGCCAAACCTCTATCCCTGGGAAAGAAATGTTTTCAAAGCAAATGAAAATGCAGGGTTGCAAGTGAAAATACAAAGTATACCTTCTTGATTTAACCAAAAAGTTTCCGGGTGGATTTTAACAGGCAACTAATTGATTTAAGAAACAGGATATTTTGGTGCACACCTGTAATCCCAGAACTTTGGGAGGCCTAGGCAGGAGGATCGCTTGAGCTCAGGAATTCAAGACCAGGCTGGGCAACACAGTGGGATCCCATCTGTTCAAAATTTTTTTTAAAAAATAGCCGGGTGCGGTGGCCCACGCCTGTAATCCCAGCACTTTGGGAGGCCGAGGCAGGTGGATCACGAGGTCAAGAGACGGTGAAACCCCATCTCTACTAAAAATACAAAAAAAAATTAGCTGGGCATGGTGGCGCGTGCCTGTAATCCCAGCTACTCAGGAGGCTGAGGCAGGAGAATTGCCTGAACCCAGGAGGCAGAGGTTGCGGTGAGCCGAGATTGCACCATTGCACTCCAGCCTGGGCAACAAGAGCGAAACTCTGACTCAAAAAAAAAAAAAAATTAGCTGGCCATGGTGGCGAATGCTTGTAGACCCAGCTACTTGGGAAGCTAAGGTGCGGGGACCGCTTGAACCCAGGAAGTCAAGACTGCAGTGAGCTATGGTTGTGCCACTGTACTCCAGCCTGGGTGACAGTGAGACCCTATCTCAAAAAAAAAAAAAAAAGAAGAAGAAGAAGCAAGATATTAAAGTTACATTCAAGATCAACCTTTAAAATACAAAAGATTTGAAATGGTACAAATAATGACAGCATACTTTTTAATTCAATTATTTTATCTTAAAAGCAAATTAGGGCTGGTAAATACACTTTATAATCCTTCTCTCATTTGTGTAAAAGGCTGAACCAGAAAGTCCGTGTATCTACTCAGGTCTGTTCATCTTGTTTGATCCCAGGTCTCTGCAGCATGCAGAGTATCCACTGAGTTGAGAAATTTTCTCTGTATTTCTTGAGAGGTTTCCCCCATCCTTGCCCAGGAAAGTTATGTCCAGAGTCACTTCATACAGCTGCACAAGTGAGCACCGGACAACTTGAGGAGTTCTATTCATATTGTCGTCTTTATGAGTGGCAACCCTTTTAGTCAAGTATCATTTGAGTGAAAGCACCTGTGTACCTCTTCATTCAGTATTTTTTTATGAGCAAATAAGCTGTCACTCACTCGGAGGTCCTGGGCTCTGACCTAGGCAAAAGCTGGACGAGATCTATTCAAGGAGGAGGCCTGAGGTCTCCAATTCAGACAATCACGTGGTGATCTGCAAGTATCTCTACTCCCCTAGCCTTTACCAGGGGCTCGCAGTTATTTTCCCTCCCAAGTTAGAGATATTGCTGAAGGGCCTTGTTCAGGAACAAACCGGCCCTTTTGGTTATAGTAGTAGGAAGAGGACCCTGAGAGTCCTGATGCTCCCCAGAGTCTCTGCTCAGTGATGATGGGTGAGCCCTGGGTGGCTGTAGCAGCAATGGTGAGGAGGTGCTGGGAGTCCAGGACTCGTGTCTCTCCCCCTCCCCGTGGGGCAGAGGCCCAACTTCCCGTCTCATTTCCTGACTCCTCCATCTCTTCCATTCTGTCTCCCCAACACCCAGGTTGGGCAATCCAATTCACCTGTTTTCTGTTTGTTCTCTCTTTCTTTCTTTTACTGTTTCTTTTTTACATCTCAAACATGTTAAAGAATTCACGTGTTTTCTCACCTATAAATGGCGTAGTGATGTCTTGCCACCTGGCCATTGGAAGGATAACGTGTGTGTGAGTCAGCACGTGGCTCACAGGAGGGTCTTGACAGTTATTGGTTTCGTCCCTTTCCTGTCTTTCTCTATGAAGCCTGTCCATTGCCCAAAGCCCTTCCCTCCCTTCACTGGCAAGCTCCTTATCCGGATCCCTCACTCTGCATTCACAGCAGGGTCCAGCCCAACTCCTCTATCAGTTCCGGAAGCCACGAGCTGTCCTAATTGCCCCTCTCAGAAAGAGATGGGACATGCAGGGCCAGAATGGCTCTTCCAGCCAGAGCAAGAGGAGATGAGGCACCATAGGCCAAAAGAGCTAATAAGAAAGCCCCACACGGACACCTGGCCTTCTGCCCACTGCTGAAGATGCTGACTCAGCCTCTCCAAACTGCCCCGACGGCAACCACAGGTTTTCTGTTTTTCAGGATTGTGGCCCTTCTTTCCCTCCTGATCTGTAAATCCGGGGCCCTGGAAAAAAAGCTTCTGAGCCCTGGAATTGGTTCCTTCAAGCCCCACAGCCTTCTCAGATTTTGTGCCCTGGCCAAACAGAAAGAAAGCAACAGTACCCCTCACTCCCGCCGCGGCAGCCTGGGAGCAGGTTTTAGGAGATCAGTCTCTGGGACAACTGGATGCCCCCCAGCCTGACCTCCACTGGGGCCTCTTTCCTTTCCCGCCCTTTCCCGAATGGGCAGCCAGAGGCCCCAGGGCTGATGTTTAGCTCTTCTCCGCAGAGGCCACTCCTGTTCCCTGCTCTGTACAACTGCTTTAGCACCTACATTTGCTTAATTCCCCTTGCCCAGTGCTTCCCATCTCCCATAATGATGCTAATGGACAAAAGGGAACGTGCAGGAGAGCTGCCCCCAGCTTCCGCCTCGCGACTGGCCTGACCTATTGCTGCTACTGCTGCTGCTGGGAATCCTGGGGCATGCTGGGAGTCAGCCAAGTGCATGATGGGATTGCAGTCTGTTCCTCCATGCATTTGGGGTTTGCTTGGAACAGTTCCAACTTGGGACTGTTGGTTTTGGTCCATGAAGTTGAAGAACGTCGTGGCCCGACAACTGGAGAGCAGGTGCCTCACGGGTTGAGCAAGATGCCTGAAAGCAAGGGATTTTCAGGCCGCCTGTTGCACAAATCCAGCTGTGGCCTAGAAGATGTCTGCTATGCACTGGTGTAAGGACTCAGAGGAAAGTGCCTTTACCATCTCATCAGAGGGTTGGCTTAAAGGCCTGGTCTGCTCTTACGGGCGGCAAGAACTAAGTCCTGGCACTTGTGTAGGACTCTGAGATGCTATTCCCACCACGGGGCTTCGCTGCCCTGCAGAGCCCACTTGCGGACACGTCGTTGGATCTGGAAGGTTGTGTGGACACGGCTGCACATACTGAGGCTTAGTATCTTCAAACCACATGCCATGGTGCCCCACCGCCAATGGAACCCACTCGCTGCAGAATTTTACTGATCTCCTGGTAAGAGGAGCTTCATAATCCATTTTTCATGTTACCAAGGGAAGAAATCAAGTGGGGAGAAAAAAAAACAGCAGAAACGTTCGAATACAAAGAAAGCAGAAGAGATCCCCCAGGACTTCTGGTTTCTCAGCAAGATGCAGAAAACCCAGATGGGGAGATTCAGTTCTCACCTTGGCTAATTCATGAAAATTTGAGGCAATGGCCAATGACTTACCAATTCAAGTACCACAAAGAAGTTTGATCAGAAAGGCTATCTTAGGACCACAAGAACCGAAGAGAAGAAGAGTCTATCTGAAAAGAAGCAGAGGATGGGGATCTGTATCCCAGGCTTGTGCCAGCGCTGTTGTGTGGCCACTTGCTAAGCACCTCTGTAGCTCCAAACACTTGTCTGCCACTGGCCAGGATGGAATCCCTCTAGAAACTGGGTCTCCCTGGAGATAGCCACCTTCTGGGGCCTTAAGCTGAAAGGAGATTATATGGGGAAATGTTGGACAAGGTGTCCATCCCTCTCCCGAGAGAAAGATGCAGGCTTCATTTTTACAAAATATTCTAAAATCTTATTTACTGAAGACAAAGAAGGGGTCTGCAGCCCAAGAAGTCGGTGGGTCTCTGCAGACATTCCGTGCTGCCATTTTCATATGGATCTACACTCTTCAGACCTCTTCGAGGTCATTCATTCTAGCCCCACACAGCCTTGCCCTCTTTCTCTGGGTCATAATTACAAAGGAAGCCAGAAAAAGAAAGACCGTTAACCAAGCTTCAAGAACGTGACTTCAGTTTTCTTCAGTTCAGAATCCATGGTGTCTTGAAATATTCAAAGAGGAGACATCTTGGAAGAACACTATGCTCTCTGTCACAAAAGGCATGTGGCTTTAGACATATTAGGTCTCTCCAACCCACCAGAGAATCTGGCTCCGATGCTCCAAGTTTACCAATCAGGAATCACACACGCCCAAGAAAACCCTTGTCTGGATCTTTGCTTCAGCACTCCAAGATGGGGGCAGCAGCAGCAGCAGCAGCAGTTCTTAGGAAAACCAGCCAGTTCCCTCCCAGGGCTCTGCAGAGCAGCAGGACTGGCCACTCAGAAGGAGGCCACAGGGCTTGTGAGGCTGGAGTCGCCGGCAGGAGTCCTAATGTGGCCCTTGGTTTCTTGCAGACATTGATGAGTGCCTCCCAAGCCCTTGTCTGAATGGAGCCACCTGCCTGGATGCCATCGACTCTTTCACATGCTTATGCCTTCCCAGCTACGGAGGGGACCTGTGTGAGATCGGTACGGCCGTCTCGGCTTCAGCTAATGTTACTAACCGCTGCACCCCCCCACTCCTCCCTCACCTTTCCCTCCTAACCACAGGCTCCAGGCCCTGGCTGGGGCCCCCGAGGTCCATCTGGACAGCCATTTCAGGGGCCACAACTGAAAAGTCTGCCCCACTGATTCCCATTCTTCTTCTTGCCCTTCTCCTTGAAAACCCTTTTCTGGAGCACTGGCTGATCTGACCTTCTCCAGGGCTTCCAGACCTACTGATGCCACCACCGAGGTTGGTGTATGGCTCAGACAAAGAGTACAGGGCCGATTTGGGGCACTTGTCTGGAAGGAAGCTATGGGGTGGGAGTCATTGGTTTTCATTCCAGATGACAGCCACAGATCTTCTCTGTGTGGTCAGGGCCATGGGACCTTTGCGGTTCCTCCATGGCCCTGGGAGCCACTGTGCCACTCTGGCCAAGCAGCCTTTCTCTTCTCCTGGGGCGAGAGCTGTGGTTGGTCTGCCCGAGATATCCCATGTCACCAGCATGCTCAAGTCATGCATGAGCAAGGACTGCTGCATGTCACCTTCCTCTCCTCACTCCTGTGACAGCTGCCATGGCTATGCCATCCAGCCTATGCTTCTTTTCTCCCTCCCTTGCGCAAGGCGAAGAGAACAGAACTGTTACAAGGAGAAGGAGCTGAGTTTCCTCTCTTGAGCCTTGCCAGCCTCTCCATTTCTGCACCTAGGCAGGGCCACCAGTTCTGCCAAAAGAAGCTGTGCGCCAGGAACCCTCCCAGGGCCAGACTGAAGCCTCGGCTGTCTCACCTTTGGTGCTTCCCACTCTCCCCACCAGCCTCCTGGTTCTCGGGAGTTTCCCGACTCAGAAAAGGGGAGATGGGACCTTTGGATGCTTGTCACAATGGCCCAGACAGAACTGGAAGTGTGCAGGGGCTTAAAACCCTTTTCAATGAACTCTCAAGTTGGATACCCAGAAACTTCCAGAAAGCAGCTGAAACTCCTGGAAGTCTCCCTTTGGTCCTAAGCAGCATGGGGAGGTAGTTTTGGGTCGCATATTCCTTTGAGGCACTGCCAAGGTTACAGACTGGTGGAGGAGCTTCTGGGAAAAAAAAAAAAAAAAAAAAGGCCTGGACATTCCTACTCCTTTGCAGCCTCCCACTCTCCATCCTCACCCCAACACCCCAAGAAATTGGTATATGGGGCCTTGGCTGGGGTGGAACCAGAGACTACAAGGGTTTTCTCCCTAGGATGCTAAAACATTCGCCACAGGGTAGGAGAGTCTGAAGCTTCCGTGCCGACAACAGCTGTTTGCTTCCAGACTGGAAGAGTGGGCTCTGCTGGACAGGAGGCAGGGCCCTCCTAGGGCTCTGTACACTGTTGAAGCGGAGAGATGGTGCCAGAGCCACCCAGCCCTGGACCTGGGCACCCAGCTAAGCAGGGCTGCATCTCTCCGTTCTACTCCCGAGTCCTCCGCACTCCACAGTGCCTCCTGCCTCAGTTCTGTCCTGCTGCCTCTTCCAGCCTCCCTGGAATTGTTTCTGTTTCCTAAGAACTTCCAGCCTGCACAGCTCCGCCCTCCCATGCCCACCTCCCAGAGAAGCTGCACCTCCAGCTCTGCCTGCCCAGCTCAGCCCTCAGCCACCGAAGGGGCCAAAAACTGACCCCCAAGTCAACCCTAAGATGATATCTCTGGGCTCTTCAGAGTGCTGAGCTACCTCCGAGGCCTCTTCCCTCTTTCCAGACTGCGGCCTCACCCCCGGGGAAGGCATTCGTAGCAGAGGGACCAGAGGCCTCTTCCACAGTGCCTCCTACAGCTCTGCTCTGTCTCCTCCAGCTGCTGACCTCCCCCTCTGCTCTCCCTCCACGGTCCCCACCTGTCTCTCCTCCACTTGGCCAAGTGTCTGGCCCTTCAGCCTAAGACTCCTTCCCCTCGGGTACTGGTCCTGCCATTCCAGGACAGCCAGACTGTGGTGGCACCCAATCAGGGAAGCCACCATGTAGCTTGAGGGGTTTGTGGCCCTCCACCTGGGAGGCCCCAGGGGAAGAAGGGAGAGGGGGGCTTGGAATCCACTCTGTCCCACGCTGTGCTGACAGATGTTTAACAACCGGCTCTCCCAGGGGAAAAGGGAGCCGTGCTCGTAGCATCTGCCAGTTCCTGACTTGTAAAGGCTTCCACCAGGGCCAGTTTAAACCTATCAGCGGCCGGGCGCGGTGGCTCAAGCCTGTAATCCCAGCACTTTGGGAGGCCGAGGCGGGTGGATCACGAGGTCAAGAGATCGAGACCATCCTGGTCAACATGGTGAAACCCCGTCTCCACTAAAAATACAAAAAATTAGCTGGGCATGGTGGCTCATGCCTGTAGTCCCAGCTACTCAGGAGGCTGAGGCAGGAGAATTGCCTGAACCCAGGAGGCGGAGGTTGCGGTGAGCCGAGATTGCGCCATTGCACTCCAGCCTGGATAACAAGAGCGAGACTCCATCTCAAAAAAAAAAAAAAAAAACCTATCAGCATGATTCACTGACAGCGCAGTTGGGAGGAGACTGAGAATGAGCACCCTCAAAGCTGAGTGAGCCGGCTCAGCACGGTTCTCCCTGTCCCCCAGCCTGTCCAGGAACTCCAAGCCAGCTCCTTCTCCAGACTGAGAATCCATTACAAACTTAGGTTTGTGAGGAGAGACACTCCTCCCCCTTCCCATTCACCACTAAAATAAAATAAAAAGCCAGGGCCCCTGGATCCCAGACCCCCAGTGGGTTATCTGAACCCCAAGAGGCAGACACAGTGTGCTCAACTGAAGCCATCTCTGATCGATGGCCTTAGAGCGCTGAGCCTTCTCTGGGCCCTAAGCCGACTTATTTCTGCTGCTCTGTCCCCACCCGAGGTTCTGCAGGAAGGAAGCTGCCAGCTCCGCTCCGTGCCCCAGGGCTGCCAGCTCCCACTGCCCCCACACATTTTCCACAGCTCCTCTCCCCACTCCCCCTCTCCCTGGAGCCCCTCAGAGACTCAGAACCATGTTTTGCCTTAAATCTCAAGACCTCCCACCTTCCCACCTCTTTTTACCTGGCCTGCTGATTTCTGCCGGCCCACCAGAGCAGGCATCCTTGGAGAGGGCGAGGGGGGAGGGCGTGGCATCAGGGAAGGAAAGGCCCCTGGCATTTTCCAGAGTAGAAGCATGTGCAGAGGCTCCCAGGGGCCAGACCGGTTGCCAGCTGGAAGCCCCTCCAGCTGGGTCTCTCCCTTCCCTTGAGGGCACAGCATTGAAGGTGGGGTGAATGCAGGAACCCATGCCATAAGACTGGCAGCATTCGCCATCCCCTAGTGGCCTCTGCCCCTCCCTTCAAGCCCCTGACCTGTGTTGCAGACCAGGAGGTATGTGAGGAGGGCTGGACCAAGTACCAGAGCCACTGTTACCGCCACTTCCCGGACCGAGAGACCTGGGTGGATGCGGAGCGCCGGTGTCGGGAGCAGCAGTCACACCTGAGCAGCATCGTCACCCCCGAGGAGCAGGACTTTGTCAACAGTGAGTGCAGCGGGGCCTCTGGGGCCCGAGAGAAGAGTGGCGGTGAGGCAAAGGGCCTCACCTTTCAGAAGGCAGCAGACTTGGGCCTAGTGAGACTGCAGGACAGGGACCTGGGGGAGGGGGACAGTGTTCCCGCAGTCTGAGCTCCCCAAGAGACGACAGCCTTTGGGGCCCGCAGATTTGGTTACAACCAAGGCAGCCCACTGCCAGCCAGAATCAGCCCAAGACTAAGCTGTGGCTGTCACCTGTCCATGCCAGCTTGGAGAGGTGGTGCAAAGTGCACTGTAAACACGCCCGTGCCGAGACCCTTGTAAGGACCTGAGAAGCAGGTGGCTTGCTCCTAGGAGCCCACCCACCTCCCTCCCTCCTCCTCCATCCCCTCTGCCTCCATGAGCTCAGGTTTATAAGACACCCTCGGGATAGCCAGCATGAGGCCTGACACCCTCACCCTTTCCCCAGACAATGCGCAAGACTACCAGTGGATCGGCCTGAATGACAGGACCATTGAAGGGGACTTCCGCTGGTCAGATGGACACCCCATGGTGAGTTCTGCTACAGGCCCAGCTCGCGGCCCAGAGGAGAGGAAGAGGGATGAAGACCCCCGGAGAGAGAGGCGTTCAAACCCCATGCAGACACTCACTGAGCAGCCGCGGGACCAGGAGCCCTGCGGGCAGAGATTGTGTCTCCTCCATCGCCGCCTCTGGAGCCCAGCCTGGAGCTGGACAGATTGCGCTAATGACGGCATGAGGCAAGGGATGGAGCGAGGAAGGAGACGAAGGAGTAAAAGCCACCACCATGAGGAATAGATGGAAGCTTTAGCGAGGTTTCTTGCCTACATTGGACCCAAGTGTACTCAAGAAGACAGACAGAAAGCAACATAGATGCTAGCCTTGCTTCTCTTTGTCCTGAAGCAAGGCTGGAAGGATGAGCTTTGGGAGGGCTTAGGAGCTGCGTTTCTGCCATCCATCCCTATCCAAGCAAGGCAGCCTTTTGTGGTCAGCCCTGGTTGGCCCTTCTGGATAAGAGGAGAGGAATCAGCGCATGAACAGGGCCTGTGAGTCTTGGGGGTTCTGAGCTCCTGAGAAGGACCCAAGCCAGGCTGTGTGACCGATTCCCTAGAGGACCCCAGGTTCCACAGCCCCTAGAACAGCCCAGAGCAGACTTCTAGCAGCCTCTGTGTAGCTATCAGATGAGCCTGAAGTTGGGCTAAACGAGAAAGGAGGCAACAAAGAGACTCCATGGGGAGGACGGTGGAGGTCAGGCCACCCCGCCCTGCGCTGCCCCCTCCTTACTCCTTCCCCACTTCCACCCACAGCAATTTGAGAACTGGCGCCCCAACCAACCTGATAATTTCTTTGCCGCCGGAGAGGACTGCGTGGTGATGATCTGGCACGAGAAGGGCGAGTGGAATGACGTTCCCTGCAATTACCACCTGCCCTTCACGTGTAAAAAGGGCACAGGTACGCTGGGCCGGGAGGGGTCCGGCGAGGATAGGGTCGAGACCTCCAGCTACAGGTGAGGCTCTTGCTCTGTGGTCTGGGGTGACTTCCTTGTCTCCTGGCTGCTGGCGTCTCCTCACCTGTCCAAAAAGCAGACGAGCTGACCTGGGGATCCCTCCCAGCACCAGCATCCCAGGGCCAATGGCAAGGGCGAGCTCTCTGCCAGGGACCATTTGCAGGGACAGCGAGCACATGAAGATCACAGGTTAGAGGACAGGACCCCCACACCACACTGCACACATTCCCTTGGATAGCAGCAGCAGAGTGACCCCCGAGGGCCCCCAGGTGAGGAGCCTCCCTGTCTTTGGGATTCCGAAGGCCATCAGTCACAGAGTCACAGTTGTCAGGCCTCGGTCCCTTGGCTTTCAGACTGTGGACTGAGTGCTGGTAGGATATGCCCCACTGCCCCTGCTCACCACCTGTGTCCCCCGGGCCTCCTTTGGGTCTCATTTTGCCCTGAACTGGATATTTTCATCAAGAAGCCCGAGTCTGCCACACCTTTCTTCCTCCCTTTCTTTCTTTCCTTTTGAGACAGAGTCTCACTCTGTCACCAGGCTGCGGTGCAGTGGCGCAATCTCAGCTCACTACAACCTCCGCCTCCCCGATTCAAGCGATTCTCCTGTCTCAGCCTCCCAAGTAGCTGGGATCACAGGCATGTGCCACCACACCCAGCTAATTTTTGTATTTTTGGTAGAGACAGGGTTTCACCATGTTGGTCAGGCTGGGCTCCAACTCCTGACCTCATGATCCACCCACCTTGACCTCCCAAAGTGCTGGGATTACAAGCGTGAACTGCCATGCCCAGCTCTTCCTCCCTTTCACCTTCTCTCCATTCCCTTAAGGACCACCCCCTTTGTATTCCCTTCCTGCTGTTCTAAATTGTTGAGGAACCCAGATGTTAGAGCCAGCAGCTTCCAGATTCTTAGCGCTGCAGGAAAATGCCCAGGGCTCAGTGTCAGGTGTTGAGGCTGTGTCCCCCACAGTGCCTCGGGTCACAGCCAGTGTAGGTCATCCAAGAAGACCCTACGAGACCCTTTATAAAGGGTGTTTGCCCCTCAGTGGCCTGCGGAGAACCCCCTGCAGTGGAGCATGCCAGGACCTTTGGGCAGAAGAAGGACCGGTATGAGATCAATTCCCTGGTGCGGTACCAGTGCACGGAGGGGTTTGTTCAACGCCACGTGCCAACTATCCGGTGCCAGCCCAGCGGGCACTGGGAGGAGCCTCGGATCACCTGCACAGACCGTGAGCATCACCCCTGCCACCCTCGCTGAGCACAGGGTTAGCTTCCGCCAGCACAGCCCTCCCCCCAGTCCCCTCTCGCGGGCACCCTGCACCATCTGCAGGGTTGAGCAAGGTTGGGGAGGTCAGGGGGTTGCTCAGTCACAAATCGCTGACCGGAGCCCCTAGAAGGGCCACGTACTTGTCCCAGGAGGGGACTCTCACTGAGAGAATGAAGGACAAAAAGCCAGAAAGTCCAAGAAAAATCAAAACCGGGGAAGCTGATAAAGCCTCCGGCGCCTCACTGAGTCCCCGGTTTCCGCAAGGGAGAGAGGGCAAGCTGGGGAGAGCCGAGGCTCGCCCCACTTTCTTTCCAGGTCCACTGATGTGTTTCCATCTCCCTTTCACCCTAGCCACCACCTACAAACGCAGACTACAGAAGCGAAGCTCACGGCACCCTCGGAGGAGCCCCTCCAGCACGGCCCACTGAGAGGGGCTTCCAGAACGCACCAGGACGCTGAGCCCAGGAGCCTGCCAGGCTGACATGGACCCACCCAGATGGTGTCCTCTTCTTGTCGCTTTTTGTCATATAAGGAATCCCATTAAAGAAGGAAAAAATAAATCCCACGTTGTGTATGCACCCACTCACCCCTCCACATCACCAAAACCGCATCTAATTTGTCCGCCGAATGCCAAAGCAAAGCAAACTTATCGTAACTCGTGGACTAAGTTTAGAGACATTTCTTCAATCTCCCATCGTGCCTTTTGAGGAACCAGTGCAGGGACAGGGGGAGAAGGGGAGGGGTTAAGTTAAATAAAGAAGATTATTTTTGTTTCCTGACTTTATCCAAGAGCAGTGCAATCGTTGGTCATTTCACCTCCAGGGAGAGCTAGGGAGGAGGGAGGAGGGCTCCGAAGGAGCTGGAAAGGGCAAAGGCCTGAGAGCATGAAGAACTCGGAACCGTAGCGGAATGTATTGGATGAGAAGCCAGGAAGGCTGCACCGTCTGTCTGAGGGAGAAGCCTTGGGGGAGAGGGGCGGGTTCCTGCCTCCTGCTGAAGGTGAGCTGGCAGGGGAGAGCCATCAGAGGGACCTTCTGCCGCGTGGGGCTTGGGTTCCCTCCAAGGGTCCGTCTTCCAGTGTCCTCTCACCTGGGTCTGCCACCCCAGCAGGTGGAAACTTGGCAGGGCTGCTGGGGGCACTTCCTTCCCAGTGGGGGTGCCGCCCAACCTTCTCCCCTCCCCACCCCTCACCCCCGGGACCGTGCAGGCACCAGGGTTCCGTGCACCTATTTATATTTTTGAAAACCGAAGATTATGATATTATAATAATAATAAAGACATTGGAAGAGATATCTCTTTTCTTTTCCCTTTTTTAATTTAAGAAGAAGGCAGTCATGACCTGGAGTCTCCCAAAGGGGCTTTTAGGAATGGTGGCAGTGGAGGCAGGTTTTGATCCAATGATCTCAAATTGGTGGGACTCTGCCACTCTGGTCTGTTCAGAGAGCCTGGGACAGTCACATCTGTTGTGCTTTATTTTTACTAGGGTGCCAATGTGTTTGGTGGATGATCTGCGTGTCAGCACAGGTGATGTGTCTGTATACATGTGTGCACCTGGGTGTGCCTGTCACGTGTGCGATGTGTCAGTCGGTGGGTGCCATGTGGATTTGCAAGTGGGCACTCTCAAAGAACAACTCAAGCGAGACATCTGGTCACCTGGTGGTTTGGCTCTCTGTGACCACACTCCTCATGTGGGTTGGTAGACTGCGTCCAAGAACAGAGGCAAAAATCAGGATTTATAAGAGGGGAAGGAAAAACCAACTGCAGACCGTGTGGGAACCGTGAATCTCGCTTACACATTTTCAGGGTGAACTGCTTGCCAGCTAGTAACAAAAAGGCCTGGGCATTCTGCCCCTAAGTACCCTGCAGCATAGCGAGGAAAACAATTCCAATTGTTTACAGACTCCCCCCACAAACCTTGAGAGCTGAGGTGGCACGTGCGTCCCAGGCAGTGTCCTTCCCCCAGGCCCTCCCCCTCAGATGCCTCCCTCATCACCGTCGCTGGACACACACCATGGAGTCTTTGTGAATGTGTGTGTGTTGCTTAGTGCATGCTAGTGTGAGTTCCTGGGTCCTGCTAACTTTTCAGGCGTGGGCGTGTGTACAGCTGTTTGTTGGTAGACATATGCTTGTACCTCTACCTCTAGAAAGAACAGTGGGCCAATCTCAGCACTTCGGGAGGCTGCGGCGGGCGGATCACCTGAGGTCAGGAGTTCGAGACCAGCCTGACCAACACAGTGAAACCCCGTCTCTACTAAAAACACAAAATTATCCACATGTGGTGGCGCATGCCAGTAATCCTAGCTACTCGGGAGGCTGAGGCAGGAGAATCACTTGAACCTGAGAGGTGGAGGTTGTGGGGAGCCGAGATCGCGCTATTGCGCTCCAGACTCAGAACGAGCGAAACTCCATCTCAAAAGAAAGAGAGAGAGAGAAAGAACGCACGAACAAACGGTGGGCCAAAGTAAAGCGTACAGCACTGGTCACATAGTAAGCGCTCAATAATTACTTAACTATTAATTAACGGATTAGCTGGTGGTACAACTGTGAGTGGTTTTCAAACTTGAGTGTGCATCAGAATCACCTAAAGAGCTTGGTGACCACAGAGTGCCGGTCAGCATCCCAGACTTTCCGACTCAGCAGGTCTCTGGGGGGGCCCAGGAATGCACTTCTCACAAGATCCCAGCGATGCTGATGATGCTGACGCAGGCCACACTGTGAGAAGCACCGGGCTAAGGGAAGAACCGATCGAATCACCGGTTGGTGAGTGGCAGCGGCATTCCTGTGCAAGGCAACGAGTCTGGTTTCCTGAGGCAGGTGTGGGAGTGGGTGGCAGAGGGTGAGGCACACGGAGGATTGGCCCCTCCATCTGGGCCTCTGAGGTCCTCTGGAGGCATGGCTTCCTCTGCCTTCTGAGAGGTGCCTCTAGTTCTGCTGGGCCTCACAAAGACAGACAGGCTGCCAAGGGGTGGGGACAGTGAAGACACAAGCCAGGTCCTCTGCCACCAGCCCGGCACCCAGGACCGGGCAAACCACGGGGCAGACAAGACTAGAACCAGCCCACAGAGTTCCCTGTTCACCCCAGGGCGGGACCTAGGTGACCTGGGAAGTCTGGGCTCGAACTGCCCCCACCACACCCTTCAGGCAGAGGGCTGCACCCTGAGACCGAATGAGATGGAGACAGAGAACAGGGCTGGGGATGGCAGAAGGCTGTCATAGCACCATTTATTGTCCCAAGAAAGTACACACACCTGAGGGGCCCTCCCCACACAGGGAAAAATGAGAAATTAATGAGAACAATACAGACTCTTTGGAACTGAGTGGGGTGGGGAGGGGGAGTTCTCCCTTCCCTCGGATTTCACCCAGACGCCCAGAGCTGGCTTCCGGCCCTAGCCACTCAGTGGGCAGACTGGGGTTACCAGCTTCACAGAGAAGTCGAAGTGGGCAGGAGAGGCCCAAAGCCCAGCTGCAGAGGCCCCCAAGGCCCTCTTCTTCTCCAGGTTGAGGGGCAGGGAGAGCTGTGGCCGCCATGCCCTGACTCTGGGCAGCATTCTGGGCAGGCCACCACCCGCTCTGGGCACCAACCCCCTTAATGAAGGAGACCAGCCTGGATGGTGCGGAACCCTCCAGAAGCCCAAGAAACCGCAAATGGCCCAGAGGAGCTGGCAGGAGGATTCCTGAGTGGGGCATCCAGGAGCAAAGGGAGGTACTGGGTTCTGAGTGCTTTACAAAAAATAGTAAAAAAATGTTCAGAAAATTAAATTGAGAAGTATAAAAACAGTTAAAACAGCCCCAACCCACAAGGGAAAATGAGCCACTCAATAAACACACAGCCGGCGCGGGGAAGCTGTGGCGGAGGGCCCCGCTCCTAGCGCTGGCGGTAGCAGTAAACCCCATACAGGCGGCTCTGTGGGTCGGGGAAGCCAAAGCTTCGGACCCCAGGCTCGGGGGGCCCGCAGTTGGGATGCGGGTGAATCACAGGGTAGCGGGCACTGCCATCTGCCAGCCAGCCAGCGTCGCAGCGGTCCAGGCCCTGGAACCTCCAGGCAGCAAAGAGCTGGCCCACCTTGGCGATCGTGGCACCGTCTTCCTGGCAGGCCTCTCTCGCCCCTGTCAGCGTCAGCTTCTCAGGGTGCTCCAGGTAGTACACCTGCCCTGCAGGAAACGGGACGTGAGTGCCGGGCAGCGCAGCGGGCAGCCAGAGAACTCAGCAAGGTCTGCAGAGATGCCAGCCCCAAAGACCTGTCTGAGCCCAGAGAGCTACCATGCTGTAGGCATCTGCAGAGAACACCTCCGGGAACACCTCCCGGTCTTCACCCTCTCCAGAGAGCCCCATCCACCTGCCGTAGCACCGGGGTCCCTCCAGCCATGTCTGCAACTCCTCCACCAGGCTTCCCCATTTGCACCCTGGGTGGGCTCCCCACCTGGGCTGGACCAGAGTCTCTCTCGAATTCAGGCATTTACGGAGCTCCCCCCACCACACCCGCCGGGCAGGGGGCTGCACCCTTAGACCCAATGAGATGGAGACACAGGAAAGGGCTGGGGATGGCAGCACCCACTATGTGCCAGACACTTTTCCAAGGTTTGGCATATGGCACTGAACCAGTTTCTGTTTCTACTTGCTCGTCTTCCTATGAAATGAGCTACTTTGTGAAGACAGGCTGTGTTTTGTTTGCCTGTGACTCCCCAGAGCCTAGACTAGGCCCCAGCCTACGGTGGGCACTCCGGAAACATTTGATGAATGAAGAAACCAATGGTTGGCACGGAGCAGCAGCAGCAAGGCAGTCGGAACTCAACCGACATGCTTCAGGGTTGGCTGGTGCTCTTGGCCCCCAGGTGGCAGTGCCAGCAGAGCAGGCAGAGGGGGCCAGAGCTCCCCAGAAGCTGCCCTCCCACAGGTCCCAGATGGGCACCACCCCTGAAGGCCTGGGCGTGGCCATTCCACTCACCCTTGAGGGCAGTGGCGAAGCAGAACACATCATAGCGGTGCAGGCGGCGGTGGCGGGGGCCGTAGCTTCGCACGCCAGGGGCCAGGCCGGGGCCGCCGCAGGGCTGGCGGGGCAGCATGATGGGGTACTGCACCGTGGCGTCCTGCAGCCAGCCCGCGTTGCACCAGTCCAGGCCCTCCTCCCAGGCCCGGAAGAGCTGCTCAAAGGAGGCCACCACCGCACCCTGCTCCGCACACACCTGCTGGCCCTCGTGGAAGTTGAGCTGGTAGCGCCCCTGGGGAGACTGGTAGGGAAAGACCACACCTGCGGGGAGGAAAGAGGAGCTTAGCGGGTGGCCAGGGGGCCCAGCAGCTGGATACCCGACTCTCCTCCCACCCTCGCTGTGACACGTGCTCCCTGCAACACACACACACACACACACACACACACACACACACACACACGCCATCCCTCAGAAAAACTCAGCAAACCTCTGAGCTCCCGTCCATTGCCACCTCTCTCCTGAGACTCAGCTGGTTCCCAGCAGTGCTCAGAAAACATTCAGGAGTTAAGGTAATCAATTAGTCAACTAACGTCCCCAACGATAGAATGGAAATGAAACCTAATTCACAGGGCTGTCCCAGGCCCCTAGTAAGGTTGTGCATCTTCTCCAGACAGGGCAAGGCTGGGGCTGTAGGGCCAGGTTTGGTTCCCAGCTCTCCTCTCATTAGCTGGGACCCGATCGTATGTTATTATGAATGTGGAAGTTTCCTAGGAAAATGCAAGAAACTTTCCACGTGGGGCAGATAATTGTCAAGAGAAAGAGAGGCCCTGGAGGCTGTGGGGAGAGGCTGGTGAAGGGTCCTTCCATAAGGGAGGCTCAAGGTCAGGGAGGTCCTGGGGCAGGAGGCTTCTCTCCTTGTGGCCGGGGTCTGATTGGGGCCACAGGCTTCCCTCAAAAGGTGTGTTCATGTTTGAAATTTTAATTATAATTTTAATTCAAAACTTAATAATGTTTTGAGATTCAGTCTCTACCAAGTCAATGAAACCTGACAGAGTAGAGGTGACCCTAGGGGTCTGGGAAAGACATTGATTGGCTGCCTTTGTTTACCCAGACTCCTTGGAATCTCCTCCCTGTGCCAAGGACCTGAGAATAGCCTGAGTCCCAAACCTCCAATCTCACCAGACACCTGGAGGGCAGGTACCTGGGCAAAGCCACACTGGGCGGCAGGGAAGCCCACGGGCCCTGACCATCAGCTGGTAGCCTCCATGTGTTTGCAAGGGGACTATTTCATGCCTCGTTCCAAATTCCTAGCCCTTGTAGCCCCAAGAATGGGGTGAGGGCCCCCTGTTTCTTTAGGCTGC